GATGCGTTAAGCGTTTGTGTGTTTTTACAAAGTTAGAGTAGCGATTTGAATTTGATAACAATGTAAAACATATTTGACACCTTTAGACCTTATTCTGATTGTAGTTTCAAGGAATGGTTGTATAAAAAAAGATATTTAACTAAGTTGTTGTCCTATGATGCAAAAAAAACATATACCTGGGGCACCAGAGTATTCACACGTGGTCCCCCACCGCACTACTGACTCGGCCCTACAATGTTTGACTGCGCAGATCGGACGGGATGCGGTAAGTTCATTGTGGTATGGCCCCAGATAACAGTCTTTACTATTTATTGGATTAATAGATATCTTAAAATTCATTATTGCACACTTAGACTATATTATTACACATTTGTTAAGAACGCCCTTATAATCATGTTAAGACTTTACCTATTTTACTGTACCCTTATATGGAAAGACTTGTATTTATTCAGACCCTTATATTTAGTCAAACCCTTATATTTAATCAAACCCTTATATTTACCCAAATAATCATGAAGAGACACCCTTATATTATATGAATATATAATTAAATACAATAGTCTAATATTTAATCAAACCCTTATATTTAATTCTATCATCATATGATATAAGAACACACCCTTGTGATTAGTTGTGCGCATTGATACCATTATATTTCAAAACCAACACCTTATAATGAATTATTAGACCCTTATAATTGATTAATTACACACACTCATATGTGGTACCCTTATATTATAATAACCCTTATAACTAAATGCGCACTCTTACATTTAATACCCTTATATGTTATTACCAACACCCTTATATTTAATTATATATAATACCCTTATGATTCAATACCAACACCCTTATAATTAAATGCACACTCTCACATTTAATACCCTTATAATTCAATGCGCACTCTCACATTTAACTTATAACTAAATGTGCACTCTTACATTTAATACCCTTATATGTTATTACCATTACTCTTACATTCAATCATATATAATACCCTTATATTTATTTAAACTCAATACCCTTATATGTTATTACCAGCACCCTTATAATCAAATGCGCACTCTACCCTTATATTTAAATATATAAGTCTTATATTTAATTGCACCACATTAGAGTCTTATAGTCAATACCCTTATATTTAATTACATTAAATGCGCACTCACATCATCACCACCCTTATGATTTAATACCAACACCCTTATCATTAATTATAAGACCCTTATAATTTAATTCCAACACCCTTATAATTTAATACCAACAACCTTATCATTAATTATAAGACCCTTATAATTTAATTCCAACACCCTTATCATTTAATACCAACACCCTTATCATTAATTATAAGACCCTTATCATTTAATTCCAACACCCTTATAAGTTAATTCCAACACCCTTATCATTAATTATAAGACCCTTATAATTTTATAATTAAATGCGCACTCTTACATTTAATGCCCTTATCTTTAATACCAACACCCTTATAATTAATCTCACCACCCTTACAATTAATCTCACCACCCTTATAATTTAATACCAACACCCTTATATATTAATACCAGCACCC